AAATTGTCCCTAGTATGTGTATATATGAATGTGAGTTAGGGACCTTAGATTGTACGCTCCTTGAGGGTTAGGGACTGATGTGAATGTAAAATATATATATGTAAAGCACTGCGTAAATTGATGGCGCTATATAAGTACCTGAAATAAATAAATAATAAAAACATTTTACTCAGGATCATTCTCAAGATCTTGAGTATAAACTTCAGTAAATTATTATATCCATGTACAAGAGGCCTTAAAAGCAAATTGGAAGTGGAAAATTTCCATAATTATTAATACCATTAAAGATTTTGGTCCAGTTTTTACACAATCCTACATGTTGTAACCTTGCAAGCTAGCCCTTTGGGTATGAAGCCAAGTGTATCAAGTATCAGTACTTCATAATGCTTGATTTGACATTTCCCAATCTTCATGTGGTCACTTAGCACCTATAACGTCTGTAATTTCTTTCTTATGAGGCAAGTAAAATCAATGGTACAAAATGTGCAGTAAAAATTGTTCTATAGCCTCAGCCAAGGGCTATTTTTTGAAATAACTGAATACTTGCCAACATATACCAGCATACAGATATTTTCTGATAACCAAGTCTACAACTTTGTGTTACATTCTAGTGCTTCTTAATTGTCAACCACTACTTATACCCTGCATGGTGGTTCTGTAAATCTGAGTTAAATCAGATTTAATATTTCTATACTCATTCATTCCTAGACTGTAAGCTCAAAAGAGCAGGGCCCTCGAACCCCTCGTGTATTGTTTTGTTACTGTATTGTCTCATGTACTGTCCCCCACTATAATGTACAGCGCTGAGAAAACCTTTTGGCACTATATACTGTATAATAATAATAATAATACTGGAAAAATATATAAATAAATAAATGGATGATTCTAGCTCTACTGAGAAAATAAAGGTAATTGCTGCCATATTAAACTAATTTCCTACCTTTTTTTGTTTTTCATTTGGATAGTCATAGTAACCCAATTATGATTTATTTCCATACAGTCAGGGCCATTATTATATTACTGGGTATACTTAGACAATGTAAAGTAACACATAGCAGCCAGTCAGAATTCAACTCCTCCTGGGTTTGGCTACAATAAACTGAAATTGTATTCCTTAGATATATAGATTATTACACTTTCTACAACATTGCAAGAGTGGACTACTTTAGCACAGCATCCTTTGTACGTGGTGTGAACAGCATAACCTGACAATCAGAGGCAGTGACTGGCACATTGGTTAGGAGCTGTCAGTCTTTTATACATACAGTCCTACAAGGCATCCACACTTCGGATCTCCAAAAGGAACACATGTCCTTACCTTAACACGTCCACTGTCGAAATCAAATGCTTGAAGAAGATGCAAAGACACCACCAAAATGCTTGCAACACCCCGCAAACAGGTCATATTGGCGTGAAGTGTTCCAGTAAAAATTAGGCACTGGATAACGAGCAGCTACAGATACCTATTTTAATGTACATGGTGTTAAAAGTCCCTTAAAGAAAACAGACAGATTGCTGACAGCCACTCCAGTAATTGCTGGAATAGATAATTGCTGGCCAGAAATAGAACAGCTGGAAAATGACTTATGTAGTTTTCAGTCGCTTTCCTCTCTTTTGAATCATCATGCAATGAAATAGGCAAATAAGGATAGGTGTTCCAGCAAATCCAAACAGTACCTAAGTAAAATGGAGCAAGTCTCAGGACATTATCCCTGGAGACAGAAGAGGAACTGATATTTGCAGCAGGGCAAAGCAATAATCCAAACTGTGTATTGAAAGTTTCTTCACAGCATTCAAGGAAGCATGTGTGTTAAATGTGATACAGAGCTTGGCAGTAAAGGCAGTTAGACTTTGGCTTCTCTCCCATTTCGGCTCACAACAGATGACAATAGCCAATAGCTTTGCAGGATTCCTTACAAATAAGTTACTGCTGATCTCCTTACATCAATCCTGGATACCCGAGATTGATGGCTCTATCTGGACAGTGATACAAATCAGTATGACATCATTCAGAAAATGCAAATGGATGAACCTCTGCTATTATTATTATACAGGATTTCTATAGCACCAACAGTTTGCGCAGCACTTTACAAAATGAAGGTAGACATTAATGTTACGATACAATTCGGTACAAGAGGAAACAGAGGGCCCTGCCTGTTAGAGCTTACAATCTAACTATGTCATTAGTTGTGGAAAACCAGAAGTTGTGGCTAGTAGTAGTTGGCCACTTTTAGCTGGACTTCTTTTTTAATGTTGAAGATGTTTTCTTGCTTATTCAAACAGCTTCTTCAGGTCTGAAGTTCTGTTTTAGTGAATGTCAGGAACATACTCCAGCCACTTCCAGCTCAAGCCGATGTACCACAAGTGACGGAGTGCACTAATGTGAACAGGGCCAATTGAAATAAATGGGTTTCTATTTGTTGAACATTGGGGTAGATTTACTAAAACTGGTGCATGCAGCTGTGCATGATAGCCAATCAGCTTCTAACTTCAGCTTGTTCTAATTAAGCTTTGGCAATAAAAACCAGGACAATAAAAACTTTAGTTTCTAATCCCAGAGGAAGCATGATACAGGGAAACGCGTTGGGGCGGAGCCAGAGCATCATCACAACCAGGCTGGCAGGAGTGTCCCGTGGCTGTGCGGTGGCTTTGTTTTACCGCTTTGCATTTCCTTATGATTGCAAAATTTTTTTTTTTTAACTCTAGATTTTACATTATTGCGCTATGAGCCTTCTTGCTCTTTTATATCTGATGTTCTGCCATTGCTGGAGAGCATTTGGTGACTAGTAGGTGGCATTGTGGCTGAGATATTACCTTGCTGCGGAGCATTGGCTACTGAATCTTGCCTACGGGGTCACTGAAAAACCTAGCTATCTGGAGGCGAGAGCATTAGAACAGTGATTTGTAAAGCACACAGCACTATTAATCTCATCATTTATAGATCATCTTTGTCTGGTAAGAAGCTGTGTCATTTGAGAAGCCCCTTTGAGCACTGGAGCACTTTGTGTGATATGAGCACCTGGCATCTTTAGACGTGCACTACAGACTTATTTTATGAATTCATTTTTTATTGAACTTTATGCACATTTTTTGGAGGTTGCTTAATTTACGTGCTCATATATGATGGGTCTTATATATTTTCATAGTGATTATGTTTGTCAGTGAGCACAATATGTGTTCAGCACATTTGTTTTTTTTTAGGATTGTTTGATAATCACTAGGGTTCTATGAGACAGCACATATATATTTATGAAGCACATCTACTTTCTATTATATTTATGAATACAGTATTCAGGATTTATTTAGGTGCAGCAGTCTGATATTTATTCATTTATTTTTACCTAGCATGAGGTTCATACTATAGTTTAATAAAACCAGGAAGCTTCACCAGCTTTTGCACTCTCCAGTTTTAAACAACAGTCCCCTCTGTCTTATCTAGGTGTAAGTAAGAGAAAACGCTCAGGTGTGAACAGGGTCTTATAGCAACACATGCAATTCAGTCACTTTGGGCAGGCCATACATTAAACAATTTCCCTTTACAGGTGTACCTTGGTTTACAAACCTAATTCGTTCTGCTGGACTTTTTGTATTTCAAAAAATTTGTAAACCGAAACATGGTTTCCTATAGGAATGCATTGAAAACCAATGAATCTGTTCCGGAGGTCATAAAAAAGTAAAAAACAAAGTATTTTATCTGTTCAAAACTCTTTATAAAGTGCATTTTAAAGACAAATACTGTACAGGGACATGATTAAAAATTAATTCATAAATGCATTGGAAACCAATTAATCTGTTCCAGAGGTCAGAAAAAAAGTCAAAAAAAGGTCTTATCTGTTCAAAACTCTTAATAAAGTGCACTTTAAAGGCATAAATACTGTACAGGGACATGATACAACAAAAAAAAAAATGTGTAAATGCATTGAAAATATTGAAAACCAATTAATCCGTTCCTATTGCAAAAACAATGTGTAAACTGAGGCATTATTTTCCAATGGATTTTCATTCGTAAACCTAAAAATTACATTAACCAAGGAGTTTGTAAACCGAGGTACGCCTGTAGATCTACCAAACCCATATTATACGAGGTTAAACCTAAACACTTTCAATTTGTATACAATCAGGCAGGGCCCTTATTCTACATAAGTTGAAGGAAAATCTAAAGGAAATTGAACAAGAAAATTGTATAATGTATGGCCGGCCAGCTTTAGCCTAGTGACCATTAAATCTCCTCTAGCACAGGATTAGTGTCCCCTTTTTAATTCTCTGTCTCTAACATGATGCTGCATTAAGTCAAATTTCTCTTGACATTGTTTTGTGCCACAAACAGTTTTTTTTGTATAATCTTTATTTATAGTTTTCTAAGTACAAAGCAAATATTAGGAACAAATATAATAGGGCACATAACTGGGAGTTGACATTCCCACAACAGCAGTTACAATATGTAGTTCATCACCAAAGAAATTCACATTACCAAAAAGTACTGTATTTTTCGCTCCATAAGACGCGCCTAGGTTTTAGAGGAGAAAAACAAGAAAAAAAATATTCTGAACCAATGGACTGCAGACACAGTACAAGAGATGACCAGAGACTGTGGACATGGTACAGGAGATAACCAGAGACTGCGGACACGGTACAGGAGATGACCAGAGACTGCGGACACAGTACAGGAGATGACCAGAGACTGCGGACACAGTACAGGGGATGACCAGAGACTGTGGACACAGTACAGGGGATGACCAGAGACTGCGGACACAGTACAGGAAATGACCAGAGACTGCGGACACAGTACAGGAAATGACCAGAGACTGCGGACATAGTACAGGGGATGACCAGAGAATGCAGACACGGTACAGGGGATGACCAGAGACTGCGGACATAGTACAGGGGATGACCAGAGACTGCGGACACGGTACAGGAGATGACCGGACACGGAAGGAGACTGCGGACACGGTACAGGAGATGACCAGAGACTGCGGACACGGTACAGGAGATGACCAGAGACTGCAGACACGGTACAGGAGATGACCAGAGACTGCAGACACAGTACAGGAGATGACCAGAGACTGCGGACTCAGTACAGGAGATGACCAGAGACTGCGGACACAGTACAGGGGATGACCAGAGACTGCGGACACAGTACAGGGGATGACCAGAGACTGCGGACACAGTACAGGGGATGACCAGAGACTGCGGGCACAGTACAGGGGATGACCAGAGACTGTGGGCACAGTACAGGAGATGGCCAGAGACTGCGGATATAGTACAGGGAATGACAGAGCCTGCGGACATAGTACAGATGACCAGAGACTGCAGACAGTGCAGGGGATGACCAGAGACTGCAGACAGTAAAGGAGATGACTAGAGACTGCAGACCTTTGGGGAGGGAGGGGGAACGGGTACCTGAATTTGACAGGTACCTGCTCCCACTTCCGCTGATTTGTCCTTCCTTCTTCTTCCCGCGGCGGCTTCTGTGACAGCCGGGTGCCCACTGCGCATGCGCTTTGTGAATGGCCCGGAGCCTTCTGGGACCTGTCATGTGTCCCAGAAGAAGACGCCGGACCATTCACAAAGCGCAGCGCTTCTCACGCATGCGCAGTGGGCACCCGGCTGTCACAGAAGCCCCCGCAAGAAGACTGCAGCGCTGGAGCGAGGAACAGGTAAGGTCCTGCAGGAGAGAAGAGCTGAGCGGCCGGCCTGATATTCTGACATGGTGGCGGCAGAAATACCGGACCGGCCGCTTTACATTCGCGCCATAAGACACACTGACATTTTCCCCCCTTTTTTGGGGGAAAAAGTGCGTCTTATGGAGCAAAAAATACGGTATATATTTACAGTAGGTACATCATATGTGATATGCTTGAATTACACACAAGGGAACAAACATTCCCCAGAGATACTCCAGTGCATACCTAAGTGCTGTAGTGGAGTGCCACATTGCAATAATAAAAAGAAAGAAGATAAAACACAAGCAAAAATAAATCAAAAAAGGATACAACTGACCTGTCTTATCCGTATGACCTCAGCTGTACCTCCCCGCTAGTGAATAGGGTGGCTAAGCCATGAGGTACCTCCTCAAAGTGACTGGCCATCGAAATGTGCCCACTTAGTCATAGTAAGGCGACAGCAATAGAGTCAGCAGAACTAAAGTGTATCCAGAGAGGACACTAACAAAACTGAACTCTACCTAATCTCCCACCATAGCTGGTCATATAGAGCCAAAAGCTAGAGAAAAAATTAAGTCCATTGGTTCATCTGGACAAGTTGTTGGAAGGAAGGCATCAGCTAGGACTAGTAAGGCGATATGCATGCTAGAGGGGGTCGTATCAGAGCCAGTGGTATACTGCTGCCAGTGTGCCCAGATTAAATGAAAGTGGGCCTTTGTGTCCCTACATGTAGCTACCCATTCCTTGGCCTCCATGATCTCAGTGACCTTCTTAATCCAGTCCCCATGACTACAAATGAAAGAGCTTTTCCAATGTATCAGAATTAAACGCTTAGCTGCATTAAGCATGGGAGGAAGAGCACTACATTTATAATAAGCTAATGGAACAGTGGGGACATGGAGCAAGAAGGGACTCATGAGGGGGAGGTCTACCTCCAGAATCTCAACTATGCAGTCCTGTATCATTTCCCAGCAGGGCTTGACATATAGAGGAGCGTACCCTTCTGACCACATCCTCTCCAGCATAGGTCAGAGGAAGGCGGGTAAATCCAGGAAGGGGGCCGTGGGCACTCAGGGTACCATCTGGTTAACAGTTTATAATTATTCTCTTGTGTTTTCGTATCTATATGTTAGAATGAGTCAGCTGCTTTTCAGTGAACTCGCACTGTAGGTCCTGTTCCCATTCCCTGATGTAACTCTGCTTAGGTTGAGAGGCAGTAGAGAGTAGCAATTTATATAAGACTGAGATTAGGTGTGGGGTAGGGTCAGGGGCTGCCCACAGATGTTAAAACGCCATTACAGTGGACCTAGTCTGGGAGAGGAGCCCGAGTGTAGAAAAAGTGGGGAAGTTGGCAGTAACGCCATACGTCCAGAGGAAAGTAGCCATATCCCTCCCTAAGGGAATCTAGAAAAATAAAGGACCCTCTTCTACGAATTTGGCAAGACTAACAGCCCCTTCCCGAGTCCATTAACCTGAAGAATGTTAACTACTCCCTGGGGGAAAACCATAGGAAGCCCCCCACTGGTGCCAATGGGGACACTGGAGGCACCAGTGAGTGGGAGCCCTTCAATGCATCCCACACCCTAAAGCAGGGGTGTCCAAACTATGGCCCTCCAGGTGTTGAGGAACTGCAAGTACCCATGAGACCTTGCAAGACTCTGACATCCACAGGCAAGACACACAGAGGCAGAGGCATGATGGGACTTGTTAGTACTTCAACAGCTGGAGGGCCATAGTTTGGACACCCCTGCCCTAAAGGTATGGGTAGTTAGAGGAGAAACCAAATCAGAAAGTCCTCCCTTATTTACCCATGAAGCATATGATAAATTACGCCAAGCCATTGTTTTTTCCTAAAGGGACTTGAAATTTCAAAAAAAGAGTAAAACCACCAGATTAGAATCCGCTGAAGTGCAACTGCTCTGTAGTATAGTTTTATGTCAGGTATGTTAACAGGCGTTGAAGCTCAAGAAAGAAGCATTTGGGCAGGGGAACAGGCACCAATCTGCATGAAAAATCAAAATTCTGGGTAGTTCATCATCTTAATTATGTGGGTACGGCCTAAGGAAAAAAGCATTTAAGGACGCCCTATTCCATGACTGAAGATCGTAGAATCTCTGACTTAAAGTTGAAGTAATTTATCTTAAAGTTGGACACCTGGCCATAAGTCTGCAATTCCACCAACAGGTTTGGGAACGAGACAAGGGGATCTGTGATATAGAACAAATATCATCCACATATGCGGAAAGCTTATGTTCTGTGGCACCCACTGTGAAACCCTTGATGTCTGAGTTTGTTCAAACTCTGTGGAGCAGGGGTTCCAAGGTAAAGGCAAACAAGAGAGGTGAAAGGGGACACCCCTGTCTCGTGCTATTCCAGATAGGAAACGTCAAAGACAAGGATCCATTAACCTTAACCTGGGCAGTGGGCAAGACAAAGTGCAGAAATCCAACTAAGCATATGAGGACCAAGACCAACTTCAGACCAAGACCCAACGTACAGCCACGAGGAAGTGCCAATCAAATGCTTTCTCTGCATCAGTAGTAAGCACTAGGTAGGGAGGGGGTTGATGTCACATTTGGACCCAATGAATAAGCTGGATTTCTCTAACTGAATTATCCCTTGCCTCCCGGCCAACTATGAACCTGGTCTGATCAGAGTGGATTATCAAAGGAATTAAGTGTTTCAGCCGATTGGGAAGGATCTACAGAGAATATCTTCAGGTCAGTGTTCAATAAAGAAATCGGCAGGTAATTTTTAGGGTAAAATATGGTCCTTCTCTTCCTTTGGGAGAACAATGACATGTGCCAGGAGGGAATCCAAAGGGATGCGGCCTCCGGAAGCATAGGAATTTGAAGTACTTACACATATGTTTTTGGAGCAGTGGGAAAAAATGTCAAGCAGTATGCCTTAATATAGCCATCAGGACCGGGGCTTTTCCAGTAGGGAAGGGATTTCACAGTAAGTAACAATTCCTCAGTGGTTATAGGTAACTCAGGAACAGTGTTTTTATAAATGCATTGCTCAATTTGACTTAACCTGGGAACTAACAGACACCAATTAGTTAAATAATCCTATTTAAAAGTTCTATTACTTCAGTGAAACATTCTTTAAAAAAAAAGGCTTATACAGATTAAAGCATTTGACAAATACATTTATTTTTCTCTTTACAGTACATAAGATAGCAACATATAAAAGTAACTTTGGTATATAAAAGAGCTGGCTTAAATGCATTTAAATTGCTAAATATGACACAATAGACCCATAACCTCACACAGAACATGATTTTAAAAAATGTAACATCAATGAGGTATAAGGCTCAGCATGCCTCCTACCATCACTGCTTCCTTTCTGACTAAGTGAAAGAACATTAATTCAACTAGAAGATATTTGCTGCCTCGTAAAAAGTACATTAGAGTACAAAAAAAAAAAAACAAAAACACAAAAGCAAAGCAAAATAGATAATTACTGAATTGTTATGAGAATAAGATCTGGCATCTTAGCTACCATCTTAACAGGGGTATTGAGTGGTCACATATTTACCAGATTTGACTATACATGTTTATGCCCAAATCTAAAGGGGCCATACAATATCTGACCGGAGCTGGAATGCCTAGCCCTAACATTTAAATCCATGTGGCTATTAATCATCTGCAGCCAGTCTGTCTCATCACTGCTGCTTTCAAAGCTGAGCTTAGACTTTGGACCAACATCAGATTTTCTTTGAAAGTTAATGAGCTGAGGGCTATAAATCATTGAACTTGCTGGCAGAGAAGAACCTCTATAAGACCAGTTACAAAAAGACTTGGGAATGATCTTGACAATGAGGAGTCTTCTTTTTCCAAAAACCGTGGACATATGCTAGTACTGAACACATGCAGCAACCATACACACAAACTAAACTATTATTAGCAATAACAATTCCCAATCATCTATGACAGGATTGCCTAGTGTATCTTATCTACAACGAAGCCTCAGTACTTAGGATCTGCCCATTTTATCTGTTCCCGATCTTTGATTTCCATGTGTTAGCCTTTTCAAATCCATTTTTGCAAAGGTTGTAATCTTCAATTGTCTGTGCAATTTCCTCTCGTGTGTTCATCACATACGGACCTAGCAAGTTAAAAGTAAAGTTAAATAAAGATCATATCTAATGACACAAGAAATGTTTCATTTAGCTTGAATGTACAGTATGTATTCTGGAAAGTACTGTGGAATCTGCTGTCTATAAATTAGTTAAATGAACTCCTGGAGACAACACCCTCACTTATAAATTTAAAAGGCTAGGTAATGCAGGCCATAGACGGCCGTTTATCGGCCGAATTGTCGGCCGATAAATGAAAAATTGGTCAGCCCGGTTGCTGATGCTGCCACCAATGTCCATGAAAAACATCAGTTTTTCATGGATTTTCCAGCATGATCGATAAAAATAGGCTATATCGTCTATAGCCTGCATAAGGCTGGGTGAGCCTGCTGCAGTGTGAGGTCCAATCAAGCTGAAATCTGTAAGACTGGGTAATGGTCAGCAAATGTCTATAGCAGCTGTTCTAAGCCATGGTTTACACTGTGTCGGCTTAAAGGATAAGGTCACTGTTCGAACAGAAATAATAAATGCACATTTTTTGCAAGAAAAAAAATGTGTATTTATTATTTTTTGTGTTAGGAGCCTGGAAACCATTGCACCATTGATCATCAGATTACTGATGCCATGTAGGTCTCCTGCAGACTGTCGGTGTATCTCCTTGCTCATACATCCCACCATATGGGCAAGCCGATACTTGCTGATAGGAAGACTCAATGAACTATCAACAGTGCTCACAGCTCCATGGTAGTCCACTGACTACAAGCCAACAGCCGCTAAGGCTGTCAGGACTTGTACTCCTTTCATTCACAGAACACTGTGAATGAATGATGTGGCTGTGTGGGCAGAGGCCTGCATGGCCACGCTGTTTTTAAAAAGTGACAGCAAGTACATGGAAATTCTCCCCTTACTCCTGTCATGGTAGGGAGGCAAATTGGGCAGCAGCTGCAGGATCGGGAACATGCTACATATTCCACCTAAAAACCTGGTGGAACATGTAACATGTTCCCAAAGGTCAACTTATTCTTTAAAGCTTATCCTTAGAAGTGGTGGGTGCATTAGTTTTCTTTGTTATTTTTTTCTCTTCATTTTCACCTGGTGATCTTGCAAATTACACATTTCCTGTCAATACTTTTTTCTCCACTGTATCTATGGGGACAGCCATGGTTGTCAAGTTGGACCCCCAACATGTCTGTTTTGTTCACCTCCATTACATGGTGAAGTGAATGGGACATTTAATTTCTATCAAAATCAGCAGCTGTTTTCTGTATTTGCTGAAAATGTTCTGAAAATAGGAAAACTACAAAGGTCTGGTAAGCTAAAATATATTCATTTTTTTGTTTTTAGATATGTTTCCGTTTTTGTGTCTCTGTTTCTATATAGCAAAGGAAGCTATCCTCTTAGACTACATTGACACCTACAAATTTGCCCAACAGTGTTTACATGAGAGAACCCCAGTAGGGGTTCCCAGTGTTTAGCTGCAGGAGGCAGCCCCACTGAAAGCAATGGGAGGTTGCTGGCTCCCACAGCGAATTGTGGCCGCTCGCATGTAATCGCTATGCAGCAATCACCTGCGAGTGATCGACTCTGAGTGTAGCCAGTCTGTGTCCTGATCACTTGCAGGTGACTGCTGCACAGCAATTGCATGCGAGCATTTGTGATTGGCTGCAGGAGCCCGCAGCTCCCGCTGTCAGGCCTATTGCCAAGTGTGAATGTGGCCTAAATGATGTCTCTGCACAATGGTATTCTGAAGACCTCTAGCAAAACCTCTTATCTTTCTTTTCTTCTTGTGTTAATTAGGACTTGACCAGGGGCGGACTGACATTTGGAAACTCGGGCACTGCCCAGGGCCCCGGGGTTAGGGGCCCCATTGAGATGCCCCTGGTACCTTTTTCATAGGCTTTTTTTAGTATGGGCAAAGAAACAGGGGCCCCATGATTAATGAGTTGTCAGTCCGTCCCTGGACTTGACACAGCTTCCTTGCTAGCTTTAATAACTGGTATGCTGGACAGCTCGCAGAGCATTCTATCACTTTAGCAGGCTGGAGACCAGCTGCACAAATTTGTGAGCATTCTCCTACCATCAATTATTTACATAGGAAGGGTGCAAGAGACCCATCACTAACAGGTTAGTTCCTTTTGATGCCAACCCAGTTAACAGCCCCTATACCTGTACTATGTGTTAAGAAACCTGAATTTTTAAATTAAAGCGAAACTCACTTTTGTTAAGGAAAAAAAAAAAATTCCCCTACGGGGGATCTATGTGCAATGCAGGGATTTTGACAAACTGCAGAGTCCTACCTTTTGTTACTCTGAAGAAATAGGGTTAGTTTGTCTAACAGCTATTTGTGCAGAGTGAATCTGTATGGGAGAGGATTCATAATTTTCCCATCAGCTGCTGCACCTACAGGGCTTTAATGAGGAAAATTACAGGAGCTGAATCCCTTTAGATTTGATTCCCTTTGGGAGTTTCTCACCAAAAATGACATTTTTGTTGCAGGGGATACGAAAAATCTGACTTGAATCTAGTGCAGACTTCTGGGAAAATCTGTAAGCCACTCAAGAAGCAAATTACATTTTTAGGGGGGCTTCCATACACCAACTGTGTACAGAATGCCTCCAGGTAGCCATACTGCATTCCATTTTAAAGAAAATGACAGGGATGCAGATTGAAAAGGAAAGGTAATTTTGAATAACATTCAATTACAATATGACTCAATTCATGAGCCACAATTGTATAAGCTATATTATTATTTTTTTTTATTTGCTATTTTTTTTTCCCAGGAAAAAGGGGAAGATCTGCTTTAAAGATTGGTCCCCCGCTCCCCATTAAGGATTGGCACTTTTGGGGAGCGGGGGGAATGAATAACCGAATTTGTCAGGTACCCGCTCCCACTTCCGCTGCGATCACCTAGGCGATCGGAAACGGAAGTTTTCACAGCCGGGTGCCCACACTGAAGATGCTGGCCTCCGGGAATACAGGGACGGCTGGTGAAAAGGGCTGCGGCGGGGGCAATGCGGGATCGTGGTGAGTGGCTGTTTTTTAAAAGTCAGCAGCTACAGTTTTTGTAGCTGCTGACTTTTATTTTTTTACAGAGTGAGTGGAACTCCGCTTTAACTTGTGTTATGTTTAGTGAAGTAACTTCCTCCAGGAGGTCAAGTCTCTTCATTGGTTGTAGTGCTGTAGAATAATAAAGGAAGGTGCCTAAATGGCTGTGGGGCTCCAGACATACTATGCAAATAATGATTTACTGAAAAGTCAGTGCTCGCATGCTCCACTCCCAATTTCTAAAAATGGAGCAAAATATGTGTAAAGCAGAATCTACAGCCATGGATGGAGTTGGATTTGTTTTAATGACAAAGTATAAAATCGGTAAGCCATGAATCAGTTAAAAGACATAGATGACCCTTTCAGAAAGTTCGAGGAGCACTGTTTTCAAACCTCAATGTGACAAACAGACTATGTCTGTTTATTTAGTACTTCATGTCTTAGAGACTATCAATAGTCACTGGTTAAAACACATCACTTTAGACAGAGCTCTTCAAGATGTTCTGCACACCAATGACTTGGAACACACTGTTTACAGAGACATTATCATGTGACCTTAAATGGAACAACATGGCAGACAGCTGTGCAGACTGTTAACCTTGAACACTAAAATACAAATAAAAGGGCAATAATTGTGGCTCATTCTTCAGTCAAAGCCAAGACTGTGACCTCAGCCATTTAACAGCATATCTTACACAATAGGAGGATTTAATACCTTGCAATATCTTGGTTTCTAAAACAAAAATGCAGTAATAGTCTTGCTGCAATATGAATTATCTCTGTACACCGAACCTGAAAGTAAAACTGGACAAACAATATCTGCTAATCTGTCCTTTAACACAACTGTATAGCACTGTGTAACACAGGCTTTTTTACTATTACATCTTAATGTCTTATACAGTACCCTATAATGTTCTGTTGATTTGCTATAATGAACCTTCTGTATGATATTTATATACTCTATATCCAGAAATCACTGTAATAACCCTTATCTGTATATTTTCTTGTATACTTACATGTTACTTAAAGCCTTCCTTGAAAAGAAAAAAAAAAAGCCAAATTTCTTACCATGCTGCACAACTGGCTCATTAATGGGCTCTCCAGCAATCAAAACAAAGTGGGCCAGTTCATCGTCCTGCAGTAAAAATGTATACATTTAGACTTGTTTATTAATTGTTCGTGAATTCTTAGTAACTCTATCAGACGTTCCACTAGACAGTGGTCATGTGGTCTATAGACCTGAACTCAAGGCAGATCACACTCATTAATAAAGGAAACATCATGAAGGAAACCTGGAGGCTGCCATTGTTGAGCTTCTTCTAAAAATGCTAGGCTACTGGCTTTCATGCTGATCCTCCGAGTTACTAACCCAGATCAAGTGTGCAGCTCAAGAGTTTTTACTTTCCCCTGACTTTTCTTTATTCCAGGACAGTGACCCAATAGATACAGAAACTATAGGATCAGCATAATGGACTTCCAAATAGCATCTCCAGAAGGGCTGCATTAATGGCAGCACTCAAAATTCTCCCATGACAGGTTTACTTTGGTTTTTCACTAAGCTGAGAATTTACTGGGCAACCCGGATGATGCGCAAAGGCTTCATTACACCAAGTTGTGCTCTCCTATTTATTGTATTATGCCAAAAAGGAAATAATCAAATTCTTCCCTGTGGCTTTGTGGGAAAATTAAATTAATGCTGTACTGCCTATGTATAAACTGACATATATCCACAGAAATTGTCCTAAGACATAATATAGGATTTGGCAGCCATGGACGGCCCAGTGATTGTGTTTCCCTTCCTCTATATGATGCCTTAACATAGATGCTGACTGCTAGCGCCTAATTAGGGTTTTGTTCATTTTTGTCTATTATTCTGGGCCTACTTTATTACCTTTGTTTGCCGAATTTTGGCATTCCATGCACTACCACAGCTGTACTTTGTTGTGACTGTTTGTACCCCTGTTATTGTACCATGCCTATGCTTTTAATAAAGAGACATCTTGACCGGTAAAAAAAAAAAAAAAAAAAAAAAAAAAAAAAAAACTGAACAAACAGCACATGTAGAGGCAACTGGGTAAAGTACATTTCTCATAAAACCATTTTCTTCCTTTATCAAGTGCAGACATCAGCTGGTAAAGGAAAAGATCTTCAAATTCATCATAAATCGCAGTACATCTAATAAAAACATATTGGGACTTTATGACTTTTAGCCACTCTGGAAGTTTTTAGCTTGGTAACACATAGGACTCCATCAGAGGAGTTGAGCATGAATATTTATCTAATAACTCTACGAAAAAAAAACCATGATTTCTTCTTCATAGCAGTTAAATGAAAAGCTGCATACTGTTTTAAATGAGATATCACTATCACATTTTATGACTAAGACTAATTTCCCTACAATAGAAGCTGCTAATTTAAAGTCGGGGGCCAGTCAGCTTATAAAGTTTTGTGCTTGTGGCTAAACTTGGCAAAATGTCTATTATATAATTTGGACAACATAGCTTTGTTAAACTTAAAATTGACAACACAGCAAAGCAGGTGAAACCTATGTTGAATCTTGGGAGCCAAGCATGATTTTTGATCTTACTTCAAACTTACTGACTTATATAATATTAAAGAAGAAAAAAAAACTTAAATAGGTACATGTGTGAATAGCAGAAACAAAAGGAACTATAGTCGTAGGCGAACATTACCAGAGAAGATTGTTCTTTTTCAAACCCACCTTATTCTCAAAGATGACATTGTCCCCATCATCCAGGACTGCTGTGTGGTGAGCTTCAACCTTCTTCTGAGCATTTTCTGGCCCTAAATAAAATATATCTTGAGTACTAAATTCCATACTTACTGAACAAAGAAACTGTTCTGATTGAATATTGGAATGGAGAAGGATAGTAGCAAGTGTCTACAAGGAAATATATGTTTTAAAATCATTCACCTAGAGGTGATGATTTACTGAATATCTGCTCGTACAACTCCAAGATTCCAGCAGGGAAATTTGTTGGCCGGACCTCCACGGAAGGCCTCTTGCCAAAGGAGTAAATTAAACATTTTAGATGTGGAATATGAGTTTAGTGCAACATGAAGGGACACTATGATGAAACAGCTGGGATTTGTATTGTAGTTCATGTATGTGGGCGTTCCTGTGTTTTTCAACAAACTACAATCCCCCAGAAACACAAATTTTCACTGTTTAACTCTATGATAGTTACCCAAATTGCATAACAGTAAATGGCAATCAAAAGTGTCTTTATTACAAACACTCACCCACGCTTATCACACCACTCAGTGTATAAAAGAATGCAGTCCACCCTGCAAAGAAATGGAAAAAAAAAAAAAAGGTATGAATGGATACTGCAAACATAATAAAGATGTATTTTCTAAAAGGTATTATAAGCAGAAACTGCAATTTCATTTCAAGTATTCATAATTACATTTGTTAAGTCATATACAGACCTGTCCCTGTCAGAAGGAACATTATAAGGTAGCCATTAGAGGAGTAATTATTTTTGTTCAGCCAGCAGGTTGGAAAAAAAAAAAAAAAAAAAGGCAAAAAACCCCCAAAAACAAACTACGACTGAATTCCCCCCATCCACATACTTGTTTTGGATGAGGGAATCCTCCACTTTAAACTATTGTATTCTGAAAGCAGAAAAGGCTTCCTCACTGCCAGAATACACTGATCAGAGCTGTGTGCTATATACGTCAGCGCTGATTGAGCAGAGAATATCCAACAGGGAGGTTGTACAGAAATCAATCTGTAGATCGACTTCTGTACAACCTCCCTTCCAATACATGAATTGAAACTCAGCCAGTCCATGCTGAACGGACCAAATTTCTATCCATGTATGGCCAACTTAAGTTGGACAGTCCAAAGAATATCAGTTATGGGGAAATCTATCATGCTCTCATAGCATTTACAACACATTATAATTGATTTTCTCCTATTACTTTTATATCTAAACGAATGGGATTCACCACCAATAGTTACTGCTGCTGCTGGGAGTGTCTATTGCTTAGAGTGCATAGACATGCATTATCATTAAAAACAAGCAGCCAATCCCTGAATGCTTGTACTTTGACAGCTACTACATTCTAACATTATTTCACTACTTTTGTCGAAGTGTCTGTTGGGTGTACTTTTAAATTATACATCAATCAATCCTTGTGCACTATAGGTAAAAAGATGGCTTGACACAACCATGGTTTCAGCAGAAGTATGGCATTACATTTGTTTAAAAACATGGGCTTTGCAAAATTATACAGATTTTTTATATTTAACACTGCAGCCTTGAAGTGTCAGAATCCTGAGTTCAATTCCCACCAATGAAATCATCTGCATTAAAGGCAGAAGTAGTGTCTCAAATTTAACTGGAGTTGTCGCTAAACTGAGGAAGCCGCTTTGATGATGAAACATTCTCAACACTGTAAACCAAAACCAGTTGAATGTGACAATCCGCTACAGCTACTGTACACTCAACAGCCACTTTATTAGGTACACCTGTTTGCTTGGTAACACAAACTGCTAATCAGCCAATCACATGACAGCAACTCAATGCATTTTAGACATGTAGACAAGGTGAAGACGACTTGCTGAAGTTCAAACCAAGCATCAGAATGATGAAGAAAGAGGATTTAAGTGACTTTGAATGTGGCACGGTTGTTCGTGCCAGGTAGGCTAGTCTAAGTATTTCAAAAAAACTGCTGATCTACTGTGATTTTCACACACAACCATCTCTAGGGTTTACAGAGAATGGTCCGAAAAAAGAGAAAATATCCAGTGAGTGGCACTTGTGTGGATGAAAATGCCTTGTTGATGTCAGGAGAATGGGCAGACTGGTTGCATTCAGATGGGTCAGAATTTGGCGTAAATAACATGAAAGCATGGATCCATCCTGCCTTGTATCAACGGTTCAGGATGGTGATGTAATGGTGTTGGGGATATTTTCTTGGCGCTAGCAAGGTGTACCTAATAAAGTGACCAGTGAGTGCATATCACAATCTTCACAGCCATTTGCATGGAGACTGTATGCTCTGCCAGTACAGTACTTTCTTTAGTTTCTCCAGCACTACATAAACATGCCTGACTACACACAGTAACAGAAATTCAAATTTCTCTAAATTTGGGGCTAAACAAATCTTGTCTCCATACAAGAGGCATGTGTATTCTCACTTAAATATTAGTGTCTTTTGTACATTTCTTTAAGACCTGTGCAATAAGCTAGCATAATTATTATTATACAGTATTTATATAGCGCCAATTAATTACATTATAATGGGAGACAGTACACGAGACAGTACAGTAACAATACATGAGGGGTTTGAGGGCCCTGCTCCTTGGAGCTTACAATCTAGGATGGAGGGGATAGTGGTACAGGAAGAAATAGCTGTAGGGGATGGAGTGGTGGGAAGAGCGGAGGAGATCAGCAATTAGGTGAGGGTGGGTTAGGCTTCTCTGAAGAGATGGGTTTTCAGGGTGCACCTATAGGTGAGGAGGGATGGTGACAGTCATAAAAAAACTCCTGTACTTTGCCTCTGTTCAGATGTTTTCTTGTTCATTTACGTTTTTGGTTGTAACATGACAAAATGTGGAAAACTTAAAGGGATATAAGTACTTTTTCAAGGCACTGTATTTGTCCATCGAAACTGCATGTAGAGTCCTTCTGTGTGAATAAGGCAAATTCAAATGTGGGAATTTGGAAAATGCCACACTGGATGGAAAGGAGCAGCACATTTATTTATGATAGTATGATTTAGTTGCCATAATGCAGTATTTTCTACATTCACACATTCCTGTTCCGGGAACATTCAATTTTGCCCTGTTCACACAGAATACATTTACAGTACAAGCAGTTTTGATGGACGAATAGCTATGCAAGCTGTTGTGGAATATATCTGAAAAAAGCTATTTCTGCTAGGAGTTTGTAAAATATTTTTTTTCTTTTCTTTAAAATAAACATGATATACTTACCTGCTCTGTGCAATGGTATTGCCCAGAATGGTCCCAAACCTCCTCTTCACTGGTCCCCCAATGGCGCTCCTGGTTCCTCCTTTTCTTGGTGTGCCATCATAGGAAGCCACTTCCTATTGTGGCATAACTGTGGGCTCATTCTGGAGCTGCGCTGCCTGTGTCCATTGACACAGACTTGGCCCCGCTCCCTCGTCGCAGGATTTGACTGCCAGCAGTGGGGGCCAATGGCTCCCGCTTCTCACAGCAAAGCCTGAGAGAGTGGGGAGAAGAGGAGAGAGCTGCTGTAGATGGGCACAGTGCTGGATCGCGATTGGGCTCAGGTAAGTATAAGGGGGGGTGAGGGGGCAATACACATATTGAAACATTAAATATTAAATGCAGATTGCATTAAGGTACAAAAAAAGATTACACTTTGCAACCACTTTAACAGAATTTACTGTATTTTTTCTAAAATTAGAAATGTGGCTGTGTTACCTTAGATTGTATACCCCTTGAGGGTTAGGGATTGATGTGAATGTACAATTTGTAAAGTGCTTGCGCTATAAAATTGATGGCGCTATATAAGTACCTGTAATAAATAAATAATAATACATTTTGTCTCTTTAAACCCAAAAGGGGGCTTATAGGAGGCTTACTTTAAATCTAATTCAGGTAATACAGGACACAGCAAGAAAAAAGGGCTGTGGTCTTTACACACCTTTGAAACATGATGACATGCTTGGACACAATTGTAAAATGATCAAAGTGTACAAATGTCTTATTAAATGCCAAGCAGCCCTCTGGGGAGCTGTGAGATAGAATTCCTTCAGGTCTGTGGTAATTGTGGCCCTTCAGAGAGCAAGAGGCCACATGAACTAAGTGCTCCTACACTTTTCAATGTGACCTCCATACCCAAAAGGTGACAGAAATTGTATCAAGATGGCTGAACGCACCATAGCAATTATTATTTTCCTCTTAACTAAACATGAAATGCCTCTACAAAGGAAGGAAGGAAAACCGATTTATAAGAGACTATACCTAAAACAACCAGTTGAATGCAGAAAGTTATAACAGGAATTCAAAATATAAAAATAACCAGAGCTACACACCAATTAAAAAGCTAGGTATTCCTTTGAAATGAGCAACCACTGAATTCCCCAACTTTAAACTAATGATTGTGTTTACTTCTCAAGCAACAAGAGTTAACCACTTGCCCTCCAGAGGATTTACCCCCCTTAATGACCAGGCCACTTTTTGCTACTCGGCGGTGCACTAATTCAACTAATTGCGCGGTCATGCAATGCTGCACCCAAACAAAATTTACGTCCTTTTTTTCCACACAAATAAAGCTTTCTTTCGGTGGTATTTGATCACCTGTGCGCTTTTTATTTTTAGTGCTATAAACAAAGAAAGACCGAAAATTTAAGAAAAACTATATTTTTTTACTTTCGACTATAAAAAATATACAGTAAACTCAAAGTAAGTTATAAATGTAAGCCAAAATGTATTTTGCTACATGTTTTTGGTAAAAAAAAATCCAAATAAGTGTATATTGATTGCTTTGTGTGAAAGTTATAGCGTCTACAAACTATGGTATAGGTACTGCAATTTACGCCATTTTTTTTGCTATACAGCACTGCGCTAGTTTAACTGACAATTGCGCGGTCAATAAGGTACATAAATGAAATGTGTGTCCTCTTTTTCACACAAATAGAGCTTTTTTTTGGTGGTATTTGATCACCTGTGCGCTTTTTATTTTTGGTGCTATAAACAAAAAAAGTTTTGAAAAATATTTTCTCATTTCGGTCATAAAAAATATCCAAAAAAACTAAAATTTCATCATACATTTTGGCCAAAATGTATTCTGCTACATGCTTTTGGTTAAAAATACCAATAAGTGTATATTGATTGCTTTGTGTGAAAGTTATAGCAACTACAAACTATGGTATAGATAATTGATCTTACACAGCTTTTACTTTCTGACTGCCCATCACATTTCTTAAGGTCCCAAAATACCAGGACAGCACAAACACCCCCAAATGACCCCTTTTTGGAAAGTAGACACCATAAGCTATCTGCTGAGAGACAAATTGAGTCCATGGAAGATTTATTTTTTGTCCCCAAGCTTCTTGAAAATGACAAAAATGTTTTTTTTTTTTTTTTTTTTTACACAAAGTTGTCATTTAAATTATATATTTCTCACACAAGCTATGGGTATATGTGGATTTACACCACAAAATACATTCTGCTACTTCTACCGAGTATGGGGATACCACGTGTGAGACTTTTTTGGGAGCCTAGCCACATACAGGGGCCTGAAATCCAATGACCACTTTGAAAGCTTGAAGGTGCGTAACTTCCT